GTCGCCTCTTGGAACTGGGAATCCTGGAACGAGCCGGACCATCACGACTTTGACAACCTGAACTTTACACTCTCAGGTAAAAATTACGTTATTTTTCATGCTCAGGAATCATATATTTTTCCTCGGTCGTTTTCTCTATCTTTTGTTTTATACTTATGATCCCTTTTTTTAAATTTTGTTTTATGCTTATGATCCCTTTTTTTATTTTTTTTATGCTTATGATCCCTTTTATTTTAGTTTTATGCTTATGATCCCTTTTTTTAATTTGTTTTATGCTTATGATCCTTTTTTTTATATTTTTTTCTTTATAATTTTGGTGCATCATTAAGAGCTAGGTCATGAGCTAGTTTATCTTTTAAGTGAGATAGAAATATGATGGATTTATTTATATTGTTTGATTGCAGTAATTTCGTTGATTTATCGAGCTTTTCAAATCAAAGTTACAATGATATTTATTTAATGATATCTAAATATTCACATCTCTTTCTCCCCTCTTCATCTTTTCCTCCTTTTTCCCTCTTTCTCACTCTCCTTTCCCAATTCCATTTCTCCTTCTCCTCCCCCCCCCACTCTCCCCCAGGTTTCCTCAACTACTTCGACAGTTGCCGGGCGGGTCTGGATGACGTCACGGAACAGCTGATCCTGGGGGGTCCCGGGGGTTCTTGCCGTGACCCCAGCTTCTCCCGCTTGTGCTGGGCGCTGCTGGGGCACTGCGATCGTGGCTCCAGCTTCTTCACGCCGGGACGTCCGCCTCGAATCGATTTTATTTCGTTTCATAAGAAAGGTTGGCCAGACTGATTTTTTTTTATTGCTTTCGTGTGCATGTTATGTGTCATGTGTGTGTGGGTTTGTATATGTGCTTGTGTGTGTGTGTGTGTGTGTGTGTGTGTGTGTGTGTGTGTGTGTGTGTGTGTGTGTGTGTGTGTGTGTGTGTGTGGTGTTTGTGTGTGTGTGTGTGTGTGTGTGTGTGTGTGTGTGTGTGTGTGTGTGTGTGTGTGTGTGTGTGTGTGTGTGTGTGTCTGCTGTGTGTGTGTGGTTTGTGTGTGTGTGTGTGGCTGTGTGTGTGTGTTGATGTCATCATGGAGAGTCTCTCGTGTGGGAAATTCGGGTTTTAATGTTCTTTAGGTGTTCATCATGGAGAGTCTCTTCGTGTTGGGAATTGTTCGGGTTTAAGTTCTTTGTTGGTGTTCATCAGGAGATGTCTCTTCGTGTTGTGTAGATTGATGCGGTTCTTTAATGTCTTTAGGATGTCATCAATGGAGAGTTCTCGGGTGGTGTGTAGATTCGGGTTTTAATGTTCTCAGGATGGTTCTATGGAGAGTCTCTCGTGTGGAATATTCGGGTCTTAATGTTGGAGTTCGTATGTCATGAGCAGTCTTCTCGTGTGGAATATTCGGGTTTAATTGTTCTTAGGTATGTTTGCATCATTGTGGGTGAGTCTGTCTGTGTGCGTTGAGTCTGAAAATATTCGGGTTTTGATTTCTTAGGTGTTTCCATCTGCATGCGTGGGGTGGTTCTTCTGCTGGTGTACGTTGTTGTGGGTGATATTTCCGGTCTGTCTGTTTTATAAGTGCGACTGAATTCTGTCAGCCTATATGGAGTACCTCTATCATCTCGTCGCGATAGTGGGTAATTCATTCCGTAGTTATATTATATATATTATTCTTTCTTGGAGACATCGTGATACATTTATATCACAGTGAGATGTGTCTCGTGTGGAAATATTCGGGTTTAATGTTTTTAGGTGTTCATCATGCGAGAGTCCTTCCGTGTGGGGAATATTCGGTTAATGTTCTGTTAGGTGAATGTTACCATTCTTGTGAGAGAGTTCTCGTTGCCATCAATATATATTACACACTTATCATGGCAGAATATGTTAGGGTTTTAATAATTCTAGGATGTTCATCATTGGCGGTTCCTGTTGTGAAGGACTATTCGGTTATTTCCTCGGAATTGTTCATCCACGGTAAGAGAGCTTAACCTGTGTGGGAATATTTCCGCGTTATATCATCTAATCTGTGCCATCTGTGTGCGTTTTCCGTGCAATTATTTGATTGTTAATTTCTCTTACTTATGTATAGCTATGTACCCATGAACGTTCTTTCCGAGTCGCCCCCGTGTGGTTCATCACTAACTTCTCAGACGCTATTGTAAGTGGAGGTTAGTCCCTTTTCTACTCGCCGATAGTGATAAACCGTAAGAAGTCTGCGATCTGATCCTGTGCGAAAGAAAGAAAATACCGAGAAGTGGGCTGTTGTGCTCTATGCGAACAGTAAAACGAGCGAAGTGTGGCGTTCCCTATGCCGCAAGAGAAACGAGATGGGGCCACTTCCCTTATGGCTAGAAAGCCTAAAGGTGTGCACCTGTGATGGCAGTTGATATGGAATAATGATATGGAACTCTCGTGAAAATAAGCATATGGATGATATAATAGAGTGCGTAATGATCGTGGAATATAAACAGTTATGTGAAACTGATAATGATTTTCAAGTAATAGGTAAGAATGATGTGCTAAGTGATCATATGATGATTAGAGTATATAGATATGATGTGATAATTGATAATGATAATGATTGATGATATTGATGACTGATAATGATAAAATGATGATATGAACGATAATGATAATGATTACAAGTACTCTCTATTAAAACTTTATCAATTTCGCGTGAATATATTAGGACGTGTATTTTTTCATATAATAAGTTTTACAGACAGTCCAGCACAATAACCTTAGCTCTAGAATAACCTACTTCAATTTTGAATTAAAACTTATTTATTCCAATGATTATGTATATGACGATAACGGTAATGCAACGAATTACAGCCGCGGGAAGGGGATTGCAGCGAGTAACTGCGAAATATTCGAATGTAAGTAATGATGTTAGTTACGGATAAGTGTCCAATAGATGTTACGCTGTAGGTGTGTGTTAGATTTGAGAGGAGTCACTGGTACGCGGATGAATAATAGGCATGTGCGAGGTGGTGAGTTATCTTTGGAACATGGCTCGAAGTAGAGGAGATTGATAGTGCATTAAAGACGTAGGAGTGTGGAGAAAAGAAAGATAGAGAGAGAAGAGGTGCCAGAAGATGTGGAAAATAAGTATAAAAAGGAGAAAGAAGAGAGCAGGATGAGGTGAGTGAGAGAGCTGATGATTGAGAGAGTGAATAGAAAGGAGGGGAGAAGAAGGAGCCAGAGGGAGGGTCTGTAAATATGGTAATATAAAACATGATTCACTAAGACGAGATTCATATATTAGTGCCGGTGTGTGATTCATAGATTGATCATGTTTATTAAAATTATGGTTGAGTGCAAATGATGATTTGTTCTATGGATTGTGACTCTAAGATCAGATAGCTCTATGCATGTAGTCAATTACTAATGCATGCGTCGATACGAAACTTCTTAGTACTAGAAGTAGAAATCGATTTAAAATTAAGTTTTATATTAAAATGCTAAATGTTTGTGTCCCTAATTAATAGTTAATTAAGCACTTATCACTACACACGATTCATCTATGGTTTGAAATAATTATATAATGACAACCTAATGGAAGAGTTATATAATATATATTATTTGAGAGTGGAGATAACGTACGATATAAGAGTATATTGATATATATGATTTAATCTATTTTATTTTCCGATCATGATTAATGGAATTTTGATTATATATATAATTATTAATTTTATTAAAATAAATTATATTTCTAGGCTATTAAATATCACTGCAAGATCTCATAGATATTGTCCCAGAAGTTCGAAAAATATAGTTTAGTCCATGCAATATTTCTGATCCTTAATGTGATCAGCATTGAGATTTATGAGAGAATCAGTTAATTATTACTTTTTTTGTTATTTTTTATGGACTATGCTAGTTGATACTGGAATATGAAATCGAAAGTTCATGTAAAGTTATAGAGGAATGTTAGGAACTCTTGCTATCTTTTCATATTGCACAGAGAACACTTCATGATGAACATTCCTAAAAATAGAGTTGATTTACAATGTTGGTAAACAACCAGGTATATCACGACTACCTGTAATAATTATAAGCTGGATATCATAATCACGGTCAAAGGCATTGTTTCTGCATCTTTTTGATTTTATCTATACTGCATTTTTTCCTTATTGTCGTTTTTCTCCTCTCTATCCTCTCTATTATTTATTTGTTTTTTTTTTGTTTTTTTTTTTTTTTATTCTGTTTTTACTTGTCTCTCTTAGATATTATTATGTGATACGTAATCTAACGCCGCCCAGACTGAACAGTCTTCTACTCATTAAGAACCGGTGTAATTTTTTGTTTTTTTTTTATTTTTGTTTTAATCCTATGCCATATATATTTCAAAATGTTGCATAAGTTTTGATCTGCATGCAATCTTTTACTTAACAAGTTACTTCGGTAAAAGTTGACTACCGAATTAGATGGTAATTGACGATTTAGAGATAATCCCCCCCGTAGAATTGTACGAGTCATCCCAAATCTAAAAAAACGTTAAATACAATTAAAGTATAACTAATATCTATATAAACTGGCTACTTGTAATTAAGAAATTAATAATAAATAGAGAGAAATATCGTTTTTTTTGAGTTCCCACCCAAAGAATGAGTAGCAAATTCCTCCCTTTGACAAGGGCCTAAGCTTATCCGGGAGCGTCACTTTCACGTTGCAGGTGCTGAATATTGGAAAATGAATACCGAAAAATAATGCCAAGAGGAAACCGCCTAAAATAATAGAGGAGAGGAAAAGGTAATGAATGTAATATAATATAATAATATGTGTATATAATGATAATATAATTATAATATCATGATAATAATATAAAAAAATTAAAATTAATATGATTAACCGTTATGTAGTGTATATTAGATTTAATGAACATCATTACATAATATATTAATAAATAATAGATATATAATAGATTAAAATATATAAACTAATGCATTAGATAATGAAATAGTAGTAACTAATATATAGATATAATAATGTAATAAATTATATAAATAATTAAATGAATATTATCATATATGATTAATAATGATTAAAATAAAATAGAATAACAATCATAATAGATCCTAGAATGATCATGTATTGAATTGCTTAAGTTAAATGATAAAGTAGAATGAAAAATTAATTTTGAATAATAAAATTGAATATAGATATAATAGATAATAATTGAATTTGATATATAATTTTAATTTCAGTGATAATGATAATGAAGTGATGATTAAATATCAAAATAATATATATATAATAATGAGTTAAATAATTATGATAATGATATAATATGGATTAATGATTAGATATAACGTATGATGACTATCACAATTACGACAGTAAAAATTTATATATATAATATATATAGAGAAGAGAGAGTGTAAATAAACGTACCATCTAAAGTGGATTTGTGAATAAAAGACGTATGCACAGGCCTAATAAGGAGCAATCAGATAGTTTGCGATGGATGTGATGCACTGTGACTAATGAGTCTCAAAAGTTGTAAAGCCAAAAGAATTACGTAAAGTTACGTAAAAAATACAAAAAAATAAAAAAAGAAAAAAACAAATAGAAAAAAAATAATAATGAAATAAAAAAATAAAAAAAATAAAAAACAAGAATAAGAAAAAAATAATAATGAAATAAAAATAAACAAATAAGAAAAACAAAAAATGAAAAATAAAAAATGAAAAAAAAAAAAAGAAATAGCTGCGTATCGAAAAGAAAAATGCCTTGTCTCTTTACTCCCTAATTATGCTAATTACCCGTGAGCAGTTAACAGTCAGAATGATCAATCTTCTCTCCACTTTCTGTTTCCTTTTCTTCTCCCTCTATTTCTCCTCTATTTCGTTCACCTCCTCCTCCTTTTCTCCCCCTCCTGCTCAGTCAGTGTGCCTCGTCCCGTCCCCCTCCCTTCTCCTTCTCTTCCTCTTTCTCCTGCGCTCCATCCTCTCCTCGTCCTCCTTCCTACGAGAGAGCGAAGAGACCTCCTGCCTGAACCGTATCACTTCTTCTTCTTCTTCTTCTTCTTCTGATCTCTCTTCTCCTTTTTCTTCTGCACTCTCCTTTTCCAATTCTGCCCTTTCCCTCTTCCTCCTGTCTGTATCTTCTTGCGTACTTCCTACGTGCGACGTTTACCGCACTCTGACCTTGTGAGTGTCTTCGTTATGTTGTATGCCTCCCTCTTCCCCGACTGTATGCGAGAGAGTGCCTCCTGACTTGCACTTCTCTTGACGCGTACCATTGCCTATCTTGCTGATATTTCGTGACGCTACCTCGCTCACGTGACGTCTCAGTATCCTAGGTTCTACGAATATTCTTGACAGTTAACACTCCTCCTTCTCTTCTTCCTCCTCCCCTCCTTTTCCTCTTTCTCCTGCTCCTTCTCCTTATTTTTCTCCTCTTTTCCTCTTTCTCCTGCTCCTTTATCCTCTTTCTCACTGCTCCCTTCTTCCCGTATTTTCAGAATTTCTCCGTACTGAACCTGTCAATCATGTGCCTCTGCCCTTGTATTCAGCGACGCAGCACTTTCTTCGTCTTCGTTTTCTTCATCTTTAGCGTCATTTTTCTGTTCCTCCTTTATCTCCAAGCTCTCTCTCTTGATCTTTAGCGTCTTTTTCGCTTCTGCTCTTCTTTATCTCCTCTTTGCTTCCTCCTCATCGCCTTCCTATTCCTTCCCCGCTTCCTTTAATCTCACTTCTTTTCTTCCCTCTCTTCTGTTCCTTTTTCGTTGTTTCTACTCTTCCTCTTTCCTCTCCGCCTCCTCGTCGTCGTTCTCCTACTGCTCTTCTTCTTCCTCCCCCTCCTCCTCCCCCTTTACTGCCTCTTCCCCCCTCCTTTCCTTCTCCCTCTTCTCCTCTCTCCTCTTCCTCCACCACTACCTTAGCCTCTTCCCTATCTTCCTCCCCCTTCCCCTTCTCCTTCTCCTCCACCACCACCTCCACCTCTTCCCCCTCTCCCCCCTCCCCCCCCCCTCTATGGACCGTTCCTCCAACACCCTCACCTTCACACCACCGCATCCTCCCCCTCCCCTACCAAACCCACCTCCACCACCCCCATCCTTTCTCCTCCATTCTCCACAGCTTCTTCCAACCGATCCTCTCCCCCTCTTTCGACCGTTTCTCCAAACAACCCGCCTCCAACACCAACCCCTCACCTCCAACACCACCTCCCTCCCCTCCCCCACACCAAAACCCACCTCACCGCCTCCACCCTTTCTCCTCCAACCCCTCACCTCCACCACCACCCTCCCCCCCCCCCAAACCATCCACCTCCACCCCTCCACCCTTTCTCCTCCATTCTCCTCAGCTTCAACCAACTTCAGTATCGAGCCTATAATTGTTATCTGTCAGAGCTTTGGTCACTCTTCCAGAAGGATCGGGGCCGAGAAACCGTTCCTCTGGGTTAATGACTTTTATACACGCACTCCCTCACACGCACGAGAGGGACAAGAAAGCGAAATTTAAAAGAAATATAAGATAAGATAAGGAATAGGATAGTTTAGGAAATAAAGCGAAATTTAAAGGAAATATAAAATAAAATAAAGAATATGATAGTTTAGGTAAGAAAACGAAATTTAAAAGAAATATTAAAATGAATAAAGAATATGATGGTTTAGGTAGAACGAAATTTAAAGGAAATATAAAATAAAATAAGGATATGATAGTTTAGGTAAAGAAAACGAAATTTTAAAAGGAAATATAAATAAGATAAAAGAATATGATACTTTACGGGAGGTAGATATAAAATAAAATAAAGAATATGATAGTTTAGGGGAGGGAAAAAGTCTAAAGGAGTGGAGAAAGAGAATTTGAGAAAATGGAAGAAAAAGAATAAGATTGTGAGGGGAATAAGATGACAAGAAAAAAAGAAAAAGATTTTTAAAAGGAAATGTGTAAGTAATCGTTTTGAAAAAGGATTTTGTAAAATGGGAAAAGGATAACGAAAAGAACTGGTAGATGAATAGATTTTAGATTTTAGAAATATGTAATGTATATATCACAATTCAGGAATAATGATAATAATGATAATAATAATATCTATAATAGTGATAATAATAATAATGATAAATAATATAATCTATAATAGTGATAATAATAATGATAATAAAATAAATTAATAATAATGATAATAATAATGATAATAATAACGATAATGACACTAATGATACTATTGATAACGATAGTAATGATGATAATATTGATAATGATGATAATAATGATAATAATGATGATAACGATAATGATAATAAATAAATAACAATAAAAGTATTAATATAATTGATGATAATGACAATGAAAAATAGAATAATGATAGTAACAACAACATAAGCAACAACAATAAGAATAGTAATAATAATAATAATAATAATGATAATAACAATAGTAGGAATGATAATATTGATGTTAATAATAGTAAGAATAATAAAAGATAGTAGTGATAGTAATAATGAAAAATGATAATAATAATTTTAATAATACTGATAATAATAATCAAATAATAGTAACGACAATAATAACGATGATGATACTACTACTACTACTACTACTAATGATAATAACGATGATATTAATAAGATTATAAATAGTAAATAATGATAATAAATAGTAAATAATGATAATGATAATAAGTGATAAAATGATGATAAAGGATAGATGGTGATCAATGATGATTAATGATAATGAATGATAATTAATAATAATTATGATAATCAGTGATGATAATGATAATTAATGATAATGAAGGATAATTAATGATGATTTAACAATTAATAATAATCAGTGATTAAAATGATAATATATAATAATCAATGGCAATTATGATAAAAAAAAATACTGATAATTAATGATGATTGATGATTAATTATGATTATAATAATGATGATAATGATGATGAAAATGATGATGATGATGATGGTGATGATAATGATAGTAATATTGTTAATAATAGTATTCGTAGTAATAATATTAATGATAACAATAATAATGAAAATGATAATAATGACGCTAATGATAAAAATGATAAAAATAATAATGATGATGACAATGATCATAATGATAATAATAATCATATTGATAGTAAAAGTGGTAATAGTAATGGAAGTAAAAATCATGATTATAATAATGGTATTGTTATTAATAATAATGATGATAATCATATTGACAAATATGAAGATAATGATAATGATAATAATAATAATAATGATAATAACAATAATGATAATAGTTCCAATGATAATAGTGATAATTATAACAATGATGCTAATGATAATAATAATGATAATGATAACGATAATAATTACAACGGTGATAATGAAGTTAATGATAATGATAATAATAGTAATGATAATAATGATAGTAACGATAACAATGATATCAATGATAATAATAGCAATAATACTGATGATGATAATAGTTACAGCAATGATATTAACAATAATAGTAATGATGATACTAATAATAAAATAATAATAAATAAAATAAACAACAACAATGATAATAATGATAGTGATGATAAAAAAGACTAGCAATATTGATAAAAAATATTGATGGTATTGATACTAACAGATTAGACACACTATATGCAATAATTAATAATCCTAATCCTAATAACAAAACTATAAGCATAAAAAAAATGTACATCTTTAGAGAGAGAAATATCGGGCGGTCATGAACAAAGGGGTCATGTATGTAAGCCTTCTCCTCTCTTTTAATTGCCGCGAAATTAGACTCGGAAACTGAGGAATGGAGAGAGCGAGGGAGAGCCTAATCTGTAATGGGCTCGTAGCGTGCAGTTTGTGGGGATTTTGTGCTTGTTTGTATTTGTAGCTGGGTGGATGCGGTTGCCTTGTTTTTTTTTTTTTTTTTTTTTTTTTTTATTTATTGTCTTTCTGGGTTGGTGATATTTTTATTTTTATTTTTAAGCATGTTTTGTTATTTTTACTTACCTACCAAGTCGAGTTTTTCTTTCTCTTTCTCTTTCTCTCTCATCTCTCTCTATCTATCTATCTATCTATTTCTTCCCTCTCCCTACTCTTTTCTTCTTTCTCTTCCTCTCCTTCTCCTCACTTCCTCCTTCGTCCCCTACTCTCTCCCTCTCCCCTTCCTCTCCTCTCTTTCATCCTCTCTCCTCTTCCCCTCCCCCCCCCCCTTCAACCCACCTGCCCCTTTTTCCCTTTCTCTTTTTGTTTCTTATCCCTTCCACCTCCTCTTTTCTCTCGGAAGGAAATAAAGAGAGAACAAAAGAGAGAAACGCGACTAGCATTATTGGACCGAGCGCAAGTCTTACATCAACCGGCCTCGATGTCGTCTGGGTGACAACTGGCGGGATTCCAGTGATCACAGACGACAGCTGTTTCTAAACATGCGTGGAGGAAAGAATATGCCTGGTGTGGATATGATTTTTTCTTAAATTGTGATTTTATGTTTGTTGAAATGTGTTTTTTTTTGTTTCTTTCTCTCTTCTCTCTCTCTCTCTCTCTGTTCTCTCTCTCACACTCGTCTCTCTCTCTCTCTCTCTCTCTCTCTCTCTCTCTCTCTCATCTCTCTCTCTCTCTCTCTCTTCTCTCTCACTCTCACTCTCACTCTCACTTCTCTCTCCTCCTCTCTCTCTCTCTCTCTCTCTCCTCTCTCTCTCTTCTCTCTTCTCTCTCTCTCTCCTCTCTCTCTCTCTCTCTCTCTCTCTCTCTCTCTCTCTCTCTCTCTCTCTCTCTCTTCCCCACCCCTTTCTCTCATTTCTCCTATTTCTTCCTTTTTGCAGGCCAGGAAGACGCAGACAGCATTTTGACTCAGGAACTTGAGACGATCGAGAAAATACGAAGAGATTACCCACGGCTGCGTCACGTCCCAATAGTGAATGAGTGAGTAAAAACAAGAATTAATTAAGATGAAATTAAATAAAAACAGATATAAAAACAGATAAGATTAAATATAACAGATACAAAAACAGATGAAATTAGATAAAACAGATACAATAACGGATGAAATTAAAAAAAAACACATACAAAAAAACAAACATTTCTCTCTCTTTTCGGGGTGAAGTGAGTCGGTGAGTCAATCCACCCTATCTCCTGACTCACCTGGAGGGAGAAAACTAGCCCGGAACACTCATTATGAATAAGCAAAGGCGATTAAGTCCTCGTGAATAAGTGAATAAAACTGCCCCTTACCGCTTGTGAATGGAATGGGGGAGGAAGGGGGGGAGAGGGGAGGGGAGAAGGATGGGGGGATGGGGGCGAGAGGATGAGGGTGAGGGGAGGATGGGGGAGGTGAGGGGAGAGGATGGGGAGGGTGAGGGGAGAGGATGGGGGGAGGGTGAGGGAGAGGAGGGGGAGGGTGAGGGGAGAGGGGGGGGAGGGGAGGGGAGAGGAGGAGGGGGGGGGAGGGGGAGGGTGAGGGAGAGGATGGGGGAGGTGAGGGGGAGAGGATGGGGGGAGGGGGGGGAGAGGATGGGGGAGGGGGGAGAGGATGGGGGAGGGGGAGGGGAGGATGGGGGGGAGGGTGAGGGGAGAGGAGGATGGGAGAGGATGGGGGAGAGGGAGAGGATGGGGGGGATGGGGTAGAGGGTCACATAATGAATGTATTAATAAGCTTCATTTCAGTGAACCCGTAGATGTAGATGAATTAAAGATACCCATTGCCCTTTGAGAATGAGTAAGGACGTCGAGATGGCTAGGTTACATGTTCATGGATGAGTAAATGGATAATTATGTAGATGGAAAAGGACTGTGTTTGAAGCAGGTGGTGGATAGTATGCTGTTTGTATATTCAATATCATTCTGTGAAATGGTTAAGAATTGACATAGTACGTATGACCTTTTTAAATGCCTTAGAAATGGGTTCTTTATGTGTTTCAATTTGGAGTGAATTAACGTTTCTATCTTCATAGAGCTATGTATGTATATCTTGCAGTAATAGGGTATAATTTTCTCTATTTAAAAGGGAGTACGTTCTTGGCTTATGTAGCATATGTACCTAATCACACACACAATTAAACACTACACGCAGATATATGCATATGTATGATAGATGAATAGATATATAAATATAAATAAATATAGATAGAGATACAGATATAAATAGATATAGATAGAGATGTAGGCAGATAGATCGATACATACAGATAATCGACCGAGAGCCAGGTCCTCAGTAACGTCCCCCCCCCCACCAACACAGTAAAACAGCTGACCCCGTTAACCCTTGCAGCGAGGGCGATTTCCTGAAGGGCTGGTGGCGCCCTCGACCCTGGAGAGCAGACGGGCGGTACGCGGGCTTGGTGGCACGGGCGGTCTACACCCACCACGAAGCGCTCACCTCACGCCCACGCCTCAACTACCAGCTCATCAGCTTCGACAACGCTTTCCTTAACTACTTCCCGAACTTTTTCGAGCAGCGGAGTGTGGTGGCCAGGTGGGTAGAGCGCGGCTGGCTTATGCGGCGCTGTTGAGGGATTTTTCTTGTTTGGGCTTTTTGGGGCGGGTCTCGCTGTGTTTTTGTTGTTGTTTTTTGTTACTGCTGCTGTTGTTATCGTGATTATTGTTATTGTTATCATTGTCGATATTGTTGTTGTTATTGTTATTACTGTTATTGCTAATGCTCTTATTGTTGTTGTTATAATTATTGTTGTTAATATCATTTTTATTATTATTACTATCATCACCATCATTATCATCATTACTATTATCATCATCATTCATTATTATTATCATTATTATAATCATAATTATCTTCATCATTATCATTATTAATATTACTGCTGTTGTTGTTCTCTTCCTCCTTCTTGACGCTGTTGTCGTTATTGTTGTTTTTTTTCAGAAGATTATCGCTAATTGTCTTTCATTCTTCGTGTTTTTCTTTCGTTATGGTCGTCGCTGTTTTGTTGTTGTTGTTGTAACTACTGTTGTCTCTGCTTAATTAGGGGAGATCTTCGTCGTTCGCTTTTCATATATTATTTTATTTTATTTTATTTTATTTTGTTTTGTTGTCTTGGTCTTCCCTTGCACGCACAAACACGCACATGCATTTCAGTGCATTCAAATATAGCAAATACGACCATTCGCACACGCATACGCAGTGTGTACTGTGCATGCATATAATAATGCTTTTCTACTTCTTTTAGGCAGACATACACATACATATATACATTTATGTGTGTGTGTGTGTGTGTGTGTTTGGGTGTGTGTGTGTGGTGTGTGTGTGTGGTGTGTGTGTTGTGTGTGTGTGTGGTGTGTGTGTGTGTGTTGTGTGTGTGTGTGTGGTGTGTGTGTGTGTGTGTGTTTGTGTGTGTGTGTGTGCTGTGTGTGTGTGTGTGTGTGTGTGTGTGTGTGTGTGTGTGTGTGTGTGTGTGTGTGGTGTGTGTGGTGTGTGTGTTGTGTGTGTGTGTGTGGTGTGTGTGTGTGTGTGTGTGTAAGAGAAATTTCACAATTTTCTCTGAAATCCCAAAACACTCAAAATGAAGTTTTCAACTCGTCCGAATGCCTTGTTTGACTCCAAAAATCAATTGTCTCCTTGATATCTGCGTTCGCTGCGTGGAGGAAGGGGAAAATATTCTTTAATTTTTTCTTTATTGTTTTTCTTCCTATCTGTGTGCTTCATTCGCAGTACATTTTCACTCGTGTTTCATATGTTCGTTGTGATTCTAGTTTATTTCCATATTTTTCCCTTTTTCTCTTTATTGTGTGTATGTTTCCCCGTATACACAGGTTGGAAAGTTTTGAATTTAATGTGGGAATGAACGTAAAATAATTAGCATATTAATATCATTCATGTATATAACCACAAGTGTTCAGTAACGGACATATAATTGCTGTGTAGAAATTTTGTTGAAAATCTAAAATTATTCCACATATGCTTTATAACAACACTTTCGTCGTAAAGGTTTCTAATTATATTAAATCCCGCTCATAAAACTTTCACCAAATCAATGCATCGATTTTGAGCAGATTTTTATAGAGATTTTACACAGATTTCAAACTAGCACAGCAGCGCCTCGACAAGTACAGACATTCACCAGATCATACACCGATTTCAAACAGATTTCAGTATCAACACACCCCGCCTCGCCAATTACATACACCGATTTTTAAGCAGATTTCAATACAAACTTCCAAACAGATTTCAGATCAACACAACTTCGCCTCGACAAGTGCAAATGGTCAAGAAAGACTCGTACACAGTGCTTGCGTTGCTGAGTCTCCTCGGCGATCACGTGATTCCACATACGAAGGACGCGGGGTTGGAAGGGTAAGTAGACGCTGGGGGGAGAGACAGACAGCTGGAGGATGGAAGGATTAATGGACGAAGAAGGATGGAGATGGACGAAGGGGAAGGATGGACGAAGAAGGAATGGAAGGATGGACGAAGAAGGAATGGAAGGTATGGCGAAGACAATGGAGAAGAAGGAATGGGAAGGATGGCGAAGGAACGGAATGGGAAGGGAATGGAGAAGAATGGAAGGATGGACCGATGGAAAAAGGAATGGTAAAAATGGACGAAGAGGTTGGTAAGGATGGACGAAAGAAGGAATGGGCAGAAGGATGGACGAAGAAGGAATGGAAAGGATATGACGAAGAAGGAATGGAAGGATGGTACGAAGAAGGAATGGAGAACGAAGGAATGGAAGGATGGACGAAGATGAATGGAGAATGACGAATGGAAGGATGGACGAAGAAGGAATGGGGATCGAAGAAGGAAAAAGACAGGAATGGAAGGATGGACGAAGAAGGAATGGAAGGATGGACGAAGAGGAATGGAAGGATGGACGAAGAAGGAATGGGAGGATGGACGAAGAAGGAATGGAAGGATGGACGAAGAAGGAATGAGAGGATGACGAAGAACGAAGAGGTATGGACGAAGAAGGATTGGGGAGGATGGACGAAGAAGGATTGGAGGAAGAAGGATTGGAAGGATGGACGGAAGAAGGATGGAAAGGAGGAGCGGCAACGAAAGGATGGACGAGAATGGGACAGGATGGACAAGAAGAAATGGAAGAGGAATGGACGAAGAAGGAAGGGAAGGATGGACGAAGAAAGATTGGGGGAGGAATGGGACGAAGAAGGATTGAAGGAATGGACGAAGAGGATTGGAAGGATGAGACGAAGGAATTGAAGGGATGGACGAAAAAGAAGGAATGGAAGGATGGACGAAGAAGGGATTGGAAGGATATGGACGGAAGAAGGAATGGAAGGGATCGGAGACGCAAAGAAGGATTTGGAAGGATGGACGAAGAAGGATTGGAGAGGATGGACGAATTAAGGATGGTAGGATGACACGAAAGAAGAATAAAAAAGGATGAACGAAAGGGAATGGAGGATGGGAACAAGAGGGAATCCGAAAAAAAGGTCATCGCGACGAAGAAGAGATGGGAGAAGACATGGACGAAGAAAAGAATGGAGGGGAATGGCCGAAGAAGGAATGGAAGGATGGAACGAAGAAGGAATGGAGGAGGGTATGGAGACAGAAGGAATGGAAAACAAAGGACATGGAACGAAGACAGGAATGGAAAGGAAAATGGTCACGAAAGACAGGAATGGAAGGCATGGACGAAGAAGGATGGCAAAGCGATGGAAACGAAAGAAGGAATGGGAGGATGGAACGAGAAGGAATGGGCGGAGATGGAACACGAAGAAGGAATGGTAGAGGATGGACGAAGAAAGGAAATGAGATTGGCACGAATAAGAAAATAGGGAGGGAATGGACGAAGAAGGGAATTGGTAAAAGGAGTACGAAGAACGCATTGACAGGCCATGACAGAAGAAGGAAGTGGCCACAGGTGCGCCACCCAACGAAGATAGGAATGAAGGATGACGAAGAAGAATGGCTAGGATGACGAAGAAGGAATGGAGGATGACGAAAGATGAAGACGAGGATATGAAAGGGAATTTAGGAATAGGATATGTGGAGAGGAGGAGGAGGAGGAGGAGGAGGAGGAGGAAGGAAGAAGAAGAATGGAAGCAAGAGAAAGAAAAGAAGAAGAAGAAGAAAAAGGGAAGAAGAAGAGAAGAGGAAAAGAGAAGAACAGAAGAAGAAGAAAGAAGAAGGACGACGACGACGAAGAGAGAGGAGGAGGAGGAGGAGGAGGAGGAAGAAGAAGAAGAAGAAGAAGAAGAAGAAGAAGAAGAAGAAGAAGAAGAAGAAGAAGAAGAAGAAGAAGAATAGAAGGTGGAAAGGGAGAAGAAAGTGGTAAGGAACAGGGACAGGAGGAGGAGGAGGAAGAGTAGGATGGAGAGAAAGGGAGAAACACGGTAAAGAAAAAGGAGAAGAAAAGATGAAGAGGAAGAAGAAAATGATGATGATTATGGAGATGATGATGATGATGATGAAAAATAAAAGAAAAAGAGGGATAATAATGATAAAATTGATGATACTGAAGATAAGGTTGATGAGGAAGATGACAATGAGTATGATGAAGTAATGAATAAAATAGGAGAGAAAAAGAAACAGAAAGAGAAGAAAAAAAGAGAGAGAAAATAAAATGTCTGGACGATTGCGATTGCCGAGGGGGCGGGGGGGGTTGGGGTGTGGGGGTTGGTTAACAACAGTGCTTGAACAACTCCTGCATGTTAAAACTAATGCAATATTGGATGCAAGGAGGGAGAGGAAGGAGAAAGAGGAGAAAGGAGGAGGAAGAGGAAGGAAGGAGAGTGAGAGGAAAGGGGAGAGGGGAGGAGAAGGAGGAGAGGAAAGTAGAGGAAGAAGAGGAAAAGGGGGAAGGAGGAGGAAAGGAAGGGAAGGAGGAAAAGAAGAGGAAGAGGAGGAGGAGGAAGGAGGAGAAGGAGAAGGAAGAAGAAGGAGGAGGAGGAGTAAGAGGAGGGGTGAGGAGAGAGGCAGTAGCTTAGCAGGGAAAAGGAGGTGGGGGTTGGTTAATGCAACATACCTTTTTATCATTTTAATTAATCAAAAGCCCTTTTTTAAACTCTGGCGGAAAAAATGCCTAAGTGTACCAAATGTTTTTTATATTCTATTTCAGCATTTCATTTTCATTTCTCATGTTTTTTTATACTTTATTTTCGGTAGGGTGCGGCGTTTATTTTACACTTTATACAAAAAAGGAGGAAAATATATACTGTGCCGAAACAGAGAAATTATACGATATCCAACAAATAAAAAAATGACCAAATATTTATTTTTTTCCCCCCTAAAACCACACAATTTCAAAACCGTCACAAAACCTAAAGAGAGAAAAAAAACACCAAACTTCCTCCTTTCCAAACATCAAAAAACAAAACACCCAAACACACTAAAAAAAAAAAAAAAAAAACAACAACCCCGCACTTCAAAAAACAAACAAAAAAAAAACTATATCACACATAACGCAAAATACACGCACTGCCTCCGAAAAGACCTAGACCGCGACAAGATAACCTTCGGGAACATACGGCCGGTGTTCTTGACCCCGTTGGACCACTAATCAGCAGAGGAGGTCCCTTCCTCCGGCCAAATTCGAAACAGTGATTGGGACTGGCGTGTTGCACCTCAGCCAGATTAGGGTTGATTGAGTGGGGTA